TATATTTAAAATGAATGTTTATCTTGTATTTGATTATGTTTATATGCAGTTAGTTACACGAATTTAAAAATGGAGATTTAATAAGTTGTATTTACGCAAAATTACTTGTAATCTTGAATTTTAAGTAATATGCATCAACAAACAGTACTTCATGCATAAAATATGATTTTTAAGATTTTTTGTCAAATGCTTTATTATACATATATATATATATATATACATATATATATATATATATACACACACATAGATATACATATATATATAGGGTCTGTTCAAATGTTAACCAAATTTATTGTGTTAACTTTGTTAACCAATTTTGGCCATTGATTCTTACAATAAACGGCTGTGATTAATCATATTAAAATTTTGATTTATTAAATTTACAATTTCACAAAAATATGTGAACTAAGTGAAAAATGGTATTTATGTAAAATATCATGTGTTTTTTATACCATCAGTTACCAAAACAGTAAATATCGTCACCAAAGTGTCTTGAAGCATCTCAGAATAGGTATGAACACAATATGAACAATTATGAACACAATAAGAATAACTGCTACACGAAAGGTAAGAGAAAAAAATATAGTTATGAACACAATTTGAATAGCTCATGAACTATAGTTCCTTCATTATGAACACATTCAGGAGTCAGTCACTGTTGAGAAATGCAGCTGGTCTATATATGAACACAATATGAACAGCTTGTGAATAATAGTTCTTTCATTATGAACACAAATCGACATATACGAAATCTTTCAATCAATTATGAACACATGTGAAACCTATGTCAATTATATAACCATGTGCAAGATGATGAACGACCCATTTGAACAGGTACAAACACATATGGTTTTATCGAGAGAGGTCTAGAACATATATGATCACAACATACACGTATACATTATACACATTTTGATGTTCACATGATTGGATATTCAATAATAAGTTAACACACATCATGGAATTTTATGATTTTGTAACTCTCAATTAATGATATGGGAGTTACATAAAAAAGAAAATTGCATATTTACCCTTGTCGTTAAATTCTAAGATGGATATGAACCTATATATAAGATGAATTGTCATTGGTTGAAAATGGTTAACAAAGTTAACACAATAACTTGATTAAAATTTGAACCATGCTATATATATATATATATATATATATATATATATATATATATATATATATATATATATATATATATATA